GCAAGTTCAAATGTTCTGCCTCCATCACCATCAAGAGTTTCTAAAGGAAATGAACACTATGGGAAGTGCTGTATTATGAGTGAAAATAGCTCAGTCTGGCACCCACGCTACTTAACCATCTCTTCTAACCAAACTATAGAGTCTGAAGAAAAGAGAGGTGAGAGGAATCAGACTATAGTGCAGGATACCATAGAATCATAATTTGAGCAAGAGCTTTAATGCCACTTTCTCAATCCCTTTACCCAAGCTACCCAGACAGAAAGAAATTAATGGATTTCTGTGGTCCACAGAATGAGCCAGACTAGAAAACGGGAAATGACAAGGGTCTGCTTTCTTTGTAGCATTTATTCCCAAGAGAGAAATCCAAGGTCACTAGCTAGCAATAGAAATACAACTAGAGCTTAGTTAGAACTAGGATACCACTCACTTTTTCTTTTTCCCCTAAAAGGGCCTGAAATAATCCTACTCCATTTTAGTCCTCATACACAGTCTATAGATAAATATAGACTCCTGAGTCAAGCCCAGTATACATGTCTCTATCTCTGACCTTGAAAATCCAAAAGGTTACCAATATCTGTGCCTCCTCTTTGCTTACTAGGTGAAAATATGTAACATGTGACCCATTCTACCCCACAGAAACACAGATTGTTTTTTGGTTTGCAGTTGCTCAAAAACATAAGGCAGACTGTTACACTGCCTCAGGCCTTCCATGTTCTATTTCTTTGCCTTTGCTCATGACCCAACAACCTACTCCTCATTGTTATCTGTTTTGTGAATTAGTCTGAGATGGTAGTTTCTCAACTGCTCATGAAGGCTGCATTTAGAAAGGATTCACAAATGGGCAAGGATAGACCAGATAACCTGTTAAATTCTTTTTACTCTGAGGTCCTAAAAAGCATACTCCAGAGGCAGCCTTCTCTCCATACCACCTCGCAGTCAGCTGGCTTAAAAGGAATGGTAAAGCTGTAACTAGATGCTGGTCTCCATCCTTATCATCACATCAGGCTAGAGTAATCACTCCTTCCACTGGACTCCTCTAGCACATTTGACTATTACATCTTGGCAACTAGCATAGGCTTTCTGGTGGTGTTACTTATCTTCTAGAATTGTCTATTCAGCATATATATTTAAGTAACTAATTGGGACCCTAAACTTGTTCAAAAATCAAACTTGAGCTGGGCGTGGTGGCTCACGCCTGTAATCCCAGCACTTTGGGAGGCCAAGGCGGGTGGATCACGAGGTCAAGAGAGCGAGACCATCCTGGTCAACATGGTGAAACCCCGTCTCAACTAAAAATACAACAAATTAGCTGGGCATGGTGGTGTGTGCCTGTAATCCCAGCTACTCAGGAGGCTGAGGCAGGAGAATTGCCTGAACCCAGGAGGCGGATGTTGCAGTAAGTCGAGATTGCGCCATTGCACTCCAGCCTGGGTGACAAGAGCGAAGCTCCATCTCAAAAAAGAAAAAAAAAAAAAAAAAAAAAAAAAATCAAACTCTTGACTCTTATTCTCTATCCTCAACCTGCTGCCCCCCAAGTCTTATCCATTTCAGTAAGTGATAACTCTATTCTTCCAATGGCTAGGTTAAAAACCTCATGAACTTCTTTGATTACTCTTTCACTCTTAATCCAAACCATCGATTACGTTTGTCAGCTTTGCCTTCAACATGTACTCAGAACCTGATCCCTTCTTGTCTCCTTCATAGCTTATCACTCTGCTCTGAGGTACCATCATCTCTCACTTGGATTACTGTCGAATAGCTTCCTAATCAGTCTTCCTGCTTCATCTACTCTTGCCCTTCTATATTGTACCCCACATAGTAGCCTGAGTAGTCTTTTTATAAAATAAGTTATATCATGTCACCCCTCTGCTCAAAATATTCCACTGGTTTCCAGTCCCAGGTTAAAACCCAAATGTGTAGGTATGAGCTGAGAAGAGCAGGAAATAAATAAAACCCAAATGCCTGCACAATGGCCTCCCACTACATCTCTGATATGATCTTCTATCACCCTCCTCCTTGCTCATTTTGCTCTAGCTACAGTGGTCCTCTTACAGTTCTTCAGCTATATCAAGCACAGTGATGCCTCAGTCCTTTGCACTTGCTGTTCCTTCTTCCCTGAGACACTTTGTTCCTTAATTTCCTTCAGTATTTCTTCAAATGCAATCTTATCAGATAGGCCTTCCGAGACAACCCTGTACAAATTAGCAAGGCTCCACCCCACCCCAGCTACTGCCTTCCCTATTCCCCTTACCCTGATTTATTTTCTCCATAGAAAATATTTATTATTATTACCTGATATATACTTACTTAATTTTACTTTCTGCCTCCTCCTTCCACAAGAATCCAAGTTCCATCAAGGCAGGAACTCTGTTTTGGTTTACTATTATATCTCCAAAGCCGAAATTATTGCATGATATGTGTAATAGGTACTCAATAAATATTTGTGTAATAAATTAACTGATCTGTCCTGGTCTGTCCCCTAACCTCCTTAAAATGAGAAACTTTTCTATCTTCCTATTTGTGTCCTAGCCTCTAGACTGTGTCATGAACACAGCAAGTATTCAAATAATGTTTGTTGTTACTAGGATGCAATCACGACTCTGCAAATTTTCAGTTTGTGCCAGATCTTGGTGTTATACTGGTATTTCATGCTCCTCTTCTAAGCTTCCGAAATTCTCTAGCCCATGACATGTGGTGCGCTATGGATGGTTAATCTATAGGGCACACCACACAGGCCTGCTCTAATAGAGATTCTGTTCAGGTATTTTATGGTAAGTTTGCTTCACTGTGTTCTACCATCTTTCCCCCAGTCTCAATCCTAATTCTAGTCAGTTTTGAAAAAGCATTTAGCTATAACCAGAAGCAATCATATGCAGGAAAGAAAAACTCTCTATTACCAGACAAGTAAGAATATGGTCTAATGCATAGAGGTAAGTAATAATATCATTTAGGAAAGACAGCATATTATCATATAACATGAGTGTTTTTAAACATTAAAAAGCCTTTAGCACAATGAGAAAAACTTTTGTGAACCTGGTAGCTAAAACAAGATAAGTTATAATAGGCAAAATTCCAAGAATGGAGATGTGAAAAAAAAATCAGGGCTGAGTGTGGTAGCTCATGTTTGTAATCCCAGAAGTTTGGGAGGCTAAGGTGGGCAGATCTCTTGAGCCCAGGAGTTCAAGACCAGCCTGGGCAACATAGCAAAATCCCATCTCTACAAAAAATACAAAAGATAGCCTGGTGTTGTGGCATATGCCTATAATCCTAGCTACTCAGGAGACTGAGGTGGTAGGATCTCTTGAACATGGGAGGTTGAGGCTGCAGTGAGCTGTAACTGCAGCTGCATTCCAGCCTGGGCAATAGAGTGATACCTTGTCTCTTAAAAAAAAAATCAAATATAATATTACTCATATCTCTGGTTTTAGTTCTTAATCTAATATAGAATCAACAATACAAGATAAAAGGATAAAAGGAAAAGAGCCAGACAAAAATATAATTTCCACAGAGGACTTTGTATCAACAAATTCCATACACACAGGAATAGGCAAAGGCACTTTCCTGGGGCCAAGAGAACATGACCCCCTTTGATTGCCTATGGCTGCCTTCTGCCAATCCTAAAAGGGCTGGCAAGCTGGTATCAAGCAGTGAACATTACAGAAACAGCATAGTAAGAGGTAGATAATTCAGAAATCCCAGCAGCATAATTCAAATATAGGTTACTAGTATGAGGAAAAACAACCTAACCATCTTTACAAACCCAACAGTCAGTTACAACTAATTTTTCCTCTCTCTCCCTTATCTCCCTCTGGTGCTATCTAATTCCTTTTCTTGGATCCCTTATGTCAAGATTATACTATAAACTACTTCAACTAAGAACTATTCAATTAATTTTCCCATCCTCCAAATTTCCCTTGCAGTGAGAGAAAATGGAGTCAACACTGGTCTATCCCAGATGTATTTATAAAGTAAAACTATAAGAATGTACTTCTTAGAAAATGAGTTCTTGAAGTTAAATATTAAAAAAAGAAAAAAAGAAAAATAAATGTACTTCTAAGATCACTTCTAAGATTGTACTGAGGCTTCAACAACAGGTCAGGCAGTTTAAGCATGCTGCCTCACTCCAGCGCTTGCAGCTCTCCTAGCCCTACCTCAGTCTGCCTTGGTTTCTGTAACCTGGCTGTTCTATGCAATCACTTGCACATCATAGGTGTGAAAACAGTGAGAGGGAAATCAACTCCACGACGATGGGGTACAGAAAGCGTGACGCATGATTCAGCGCTTCACAGTCAACTGGCGTGTGTGTGTGTGTGTGTGTGTGTGTGTGTGTGTGTGTCATGCTCATGGCAATATCCTACTTCTTGAGGCTCCTTCCTTTTTGCAGCCTACTGCCTGTACTCTATGCTATCAGCCCTTCATGACTCGACTGAGACAGACTGGAGTCAGAAAAGTGGATGGAATTCTTACGCAGCACGAAGTAGTATAAGAAATCCTAGGCAGAAGGAAGCTCAGGTAGTTCTCAGAACCAGAAAACGCCTTGACAACCCGGGACAACCCAATTCCAGCATTAAAACAACTCCGTATTTTAATTCTTCTCTTAATTTAATACTTCCTTCTTTATTGACTTTATTGATTGTTGAGCATTCTAGGAACTAGGATAGGATTACTGGGCCTGAAGGAAAGAATACTTCTTGAACCTGTTAAATGAATCTAGCTTGCTTTAAAGTGAAGGAAGGGAGAAAGAGAGTTATCTCTTTCGCAGGAGCACATTTCAATCACTCATCACTCTGGGTTAGCATAAATCAGATAAACTATCCTTTGGCTTGTGCAAAACACACACACACACACACACACACACACACACACACAACTTTTAAAAAGCAGAGCAAGATAACTGAAGTAGACAAACCCTGCAGAGAAGTAACTAATGGCGGCAGGGAAGAGAAATATGATATTGGTACCTGTGTGTCATTAGAGCTGTTAAATTAAAAAAAAAAAAAAAAATGGATGCAGAAGCTCTGCCCTCCTGGCGCCAGAAAAGGCAATTTCGTGAACTAGGGCCAACAACCACATCCAAAATTAAACATTTCAAAAGCTTAACATAAAAAAAAAAAAACTAGGAAAATTAGGCAGAGCACCTATTTCATTTGTTAAAGACATTAATTAGTGTTTTATACATTACCACACAAATGCATAAAGTGACTGTGAAATTCAAGAAAACAATGAAACTACAAGAAAACTCCAGATAAAACTATAAAGCTAAACATAAACTTGGCCCAGGACCACAACAGTGGCTGAGGGATGATAAGATACAGTCCTTTATATCGGTAACCCTTAGCCATCCATCCCATTCTATAGAAAGAAGACAGTACCGTCTTTGACCCCTGTCCTGGGCTGCTTCTACTTAATGCCAAGAACAGCCGTACTACAGGGAAAAAACAAAAACAAAAAAAACAAAACACTGCACCCACCCCAGCTCCAAATGCACACATTAGCTGATAGGTGAGATGGAGCAGCCTGGCTTCCTCCCTCTACCCACTCCTTGGGGGTGGGGCTGGAAGAGATGAGAACGATGAAGAGATGTCGGGGGTTCAGGAAACCGTGTTCACATTCGACCCCTTTTCTCTCTCCCCACTCAGGATGGAAGATCAAAGGAAGATAGGACCAAAACTAGAGAAGTAGATTTTGCCTAGGGGGACAATGGACTCAACAAAGTCCTCTGGATCTGGCAACTGTCAAAAAAAAAAAAAAAAAAAAACCCTTTCCGCTTCTGTCTCTCCTCACACAGCCATCAGGAATCACCTCTGTCACTTACAGCCATACCACCCTGAATGCACCTGATCTTGTCTGATCTCAGAAGCTAAGGAATCACCTCTGTCTTGGTCATAGGACCAGCCACCTAGCATGCGAGGCACAAGTCCCATGAACAAAATTCGGTAATAAGAATAAGGAGAGAGAAAGAAAACCCGAGGGCAGGAGGGACGGGCAGAAGGGCAGGAGAGCAGGGTAGGACAGGGTATCTTCCTTCTACTGGAGAGGAGAGAGACACCCAGGGAGAAGGCACAGCCGAGGGGAGCGCTAGAAAAGCCACAACGGAATCTCCACCGAGACCGCAGCAGGGGTGCTGGAAGGGGAGGAATCCGAGACCCAGCGAGAGCCAACCAGGGACAGCGGCGGGCCGGGCCGTGACTCAGTGAAAGCCGCAGCGGCAGGGCCTCAGGAGACCGCGGGCGCGAAGCCGCCAGGGCCAGGGCCGGGGCCGGGGCCGGGGCCGGGGCGAGAGCGGCGGCGGGGAGCTCACCGTGTCTTTGGACGAGCCCAGCTTCTTCAGGCCGTCCAGGGGCAGCAGGTCGGCGGAGTCCTTGTGAATGAACTGCACAGCCTGCTTCATCCGGCGCTGCTGTCGCAGCGACGCCGCCTCCCGCATGTCGGTCTCCTTGCGGCCTCCCTCGGTGAGGAGCCCTGAGTAAAACATCGCTGAGGCGCCTGCGGCCCGGCGGCCGGGTCGCCCGAGGTTCCCCGGCAGCCTCAGCCTCGAGCTCCTCCAGCGCCGCAAGGGCCGCGCGCCGCGCCTTTTATAGCCGAGCGTGACGTCGCGGGGAGCAGCCAGTGCGCTCGCGGGGGGCGGGGCCGGCACAGCGTCCACGCCCCCCGCGGCTCCCGGACGTCCAGAGTCCACTGCACAGATTGGCGCTTCCCAGCCCGCGGCAAAGTGAGCGAGGAGGGGGCGGGGTTGGCAGGACCGACCTGGAGGGCCGAGAATCCAACGCGGCCGCTTCGCCCAACCGCTCCCTCCTGCATAGAGGCCCGCATCCCCTGGACGGGCGTGGGCTCTGGGGCCGGATGCCCTGGCAGCCCCGGCCACCTCCGCCGCTGGCCGCGGGTCCCTGCTCACCTGTCCACGCTGTGGCAGACCCGGGGATCACCAACAGCCGGGCCATGCCTCGATTCCCGCCGCCCGCGCCGCTGCTCGGCTTTTCAGAAACGCACCTCCACGCCGCCAGACAGGGCTCCAGCGCCCACCGCCTGGGCCCAGAGGACTGGCGACTCCCTCCGAAGTTGGGAGAGCTCGGGATTTCTCCAACTTCAAGTCGGTCCCCACCCACCGCGTCACGTGACTGGGGAGGGGGCAGCCGCTGCGGGCGTGTGGAGGAGACTTTCGGGACCTCCTACCCCGGACACCCTCGGCCTCTAGCCCGGCACCTGGCCCGCGTTCCCGAGCCGGGGGAGCAGGTGCGGTTCCCTACACCTGCTCTCCGAACGGAAAAAGCACCTGTCTTTTTCAACAAGTGCTAGGGCTTACCGTCTGAAGGAGCTTTCACCATCTCTCCAGCGTCCTTAGTAGGAGCAATTGGAACCCGTTTTTCATCCTGAACAATCCATACTTTTAAGGCATTCTAATCGGGCCTTCAGGCATCCTGGATTCTGGTCTTGACGTTGTGATTTAATACAAACCACGTTTCCACTCTGAAAACCACAACTACCCTCTCCACCCCATCACACAGGAGCAGACCTGGATAAGAAATATGTGCACTCTGCAAAGAACCATTGAGAAAAGTAACAATATCGATGCTTACTGAGCCTTCACTATGTGCCAGGTACTGGAATAAACACTTAAAATGCAGTGTCTCATTGAATCCTGGCAACAGCTTGTAAGATAGTATTCTCATTACCCCCATTTTACAGACAAATTCCTGATACCTTCTGCCTGGCCTCCTGAATGCTCCCTGGTTCCATTCCAATCCGTTGTTCACTGTGCTGCCGGAGGAATTTTCTCAAACGACAACTGTGATCGTCTCACTTCCCTGCTAAGAGCACCTCAAAATGCTTCCTATTGCTCTTAGGAGAAACCCACATTCTTGCACGGTCTGCCTAGACCCTGTGTATCCACTCTGTACTTCAGCCTCAGGCCTTCCAGTTTCTTTCAGTCACCGTTGCCAAATGGCCTGCCTTTGACTGTCCTGTTCCTTCTGCGTGTAGTGCCCCCTCCTACCCTCTTCAGGAAACTCCTATGCTTCGTCCAGACCTCAGCTCCCTTATCGTTTCTTTAGGAAAGCTTTCTCTGACCTTCCAGAGAGGGAGAAGTCTCTCTAATGATATATTATGTCTCATGGATTTCACTTTCTGTGGGGGTGGAGATAGGGAGGTACTGGTCGGTTGATTAATATTTGTCTCCCCCACTGATTGGAACCTCCAGGAAGGTGACTGAATCAATTATTTTGCTTAGCATTGATGCCCTAATATGCAGAGGGCTCTCCATAAATACTAGTAAAAGGATGGCAAAAGGTTAAGGTCATACCAAAGAAATCAAGTGGTAGAGCTGGCATCTACCCCCAGAACCTGTGCTGGGCTTCCTAGACCTGGAGAGACTGGGTTTGACCTCATGAAGTTTCTTTTCCTCTGTTCTGCCTTCAACACTTGCCCCGGTTTCAGAGAACACAGACTGTGGGAAAACAAATCCAGAAGGTTGCTCACTTGGCTTCAAGGAAGCCCCAGGGCTGGATTCCTTCCTGTGTGCCCACCCCCTTCTCTCCCCTACACACAGAAGACAGGGTCTCTAGGAGGCAGGTGGGATTGCTGCTCACCTTCCAGTCCCCTGGCACACTTCCAGCGGTGAACAACAGTGGCTGCCCTGGCCCCTTCTGTTCTGTCACCTGGATCCCTGCCTGATCACTCCTCCAGGTGCGAGTCACCCAGGGAACAGTGAAAGACAGCTTTGCTTTGTCTATCTAGGACAGGTGCCTCTGAGCTTGGTAAAGCATCAGGACAGGTCCAACAGTGAGGGCCCCTAGGGAAGGAAGCCAGGCAGGTAGACACTCTTGGGGGGGAGTTGGAATCCTCACTTTCCAGGCTGCTCAGTTCAGTCCTGCAGCCTTTTTGGCTGAGGATGTCCTGACAAAAGAAAGGGACTCTTTTCACAGCCGGATCCTCCTGGGAACACCAGGAAGCTGAATCTCTCTAGTTCAACTGGAATTTAGCCATATCAAGTGTTGCTGAAAAATAAATGGGGCCTGGCTGGAACTGGGAATCTTTTTGTGAATTCAGAGCTCTTTGCTGTAGTGGGATTTGTGTTCTGCACTTTGGTCTGCGGCTGCAGTACCTATTGCTCCCCTCATCTGTCTGAGACCTTCCTTGGACAGACTGATACCATCACTGCCCTCAAGCATGGTTCAGTGTAGTGAGGCCAGCTCCTCCCTTCCCCCACATACTATGAGTATCCACAGACCACAGACTGCTTAATTTAAGAAGAGTTATCTCTGAGTGGTTTATCCTGTTTGCCCAAATGACTTTGAGTAGGTCACTTCCTACCTCTAAGTCTCAGTTTCCATATCTGTAAAATGGATGTAGTGAGATTGCATATACAATTGTGCTTGTAAACTCTCTAGGGCCGCACCAACAGAAAAGGTTATTATTCTCCACATAGCCAACCAACCTCCCCTGCCTCACTGACCCATCTTGGAGGAAGTAACATACAACACAGTTATTAAAAACACAGGTGTTGGAGTCTAATACTCTAGTTTTGAATCCCTGCTGCTTACTAGCTATGTGACTGGTTACTTCACCATTGTGAGCCTTCAGTTCTTCATCTAGAAAATTGTGCCAATATCTCTACTTCTCAGGGCTGCTGTGAGAAATAAAAAGATAGACAGTAGAATACATTGGCCACGTAGCATAGGCTCAGCAGAAGGTAGCAACCATCATTACCTGGAACAACTTCAGGAAAAACTGTAGGTTGCAGGATGCTCAGATTGGGGCTGGACTCTCCTTTCTCCAGGCTTCCCTACAGAGTTTCAGACACAAAGCCAGACCTGAGAATCTTACCTTATCCCTAGAGTGGAGGCCTCTTGATACAGGGGCTGGCCAGCTCTCTTCCTCTCCAGTGTCTCCAGATTCTGGATTTTCCATGTCCAATGGCTCTATCCTAAAGTTCTCTGCATCCTCCCTTGGCTGTTAGAGAAAGTGTGTAATTGAAAATCATACTAGGAAATCCAGTGCTGTTTCAGTTAGAATGTTATTCATGTTATTCTTCTTATAAGTGACAGAAGCCTAGCTGAAAATTCCTTATGTGAAAATGCAAATTTTTCATCCCCTTAATTAAAAAGTACAGGGGCTTCAGGCATGGCTGGATCCAAAGGCTCAAATGGCATTATCACTGTGTTTCAGCTCTGCTTTCCTCTGAGCTGAAGCCCCTGCAGGCAGACCCTTCCTGTCTGATGTCTATTTGCAGCTCTAGGCTTACAACCTATTCTCCCAGCAACCCTCTTTTGGGTCTTCAGCTAACAGAGAGGACACTAAGAATGAGAAACAGGATGAGTACTGAGGCTGAGAGGCCTGAAAAGCAGAGGAGCAGAGCAGAGGATAAAGGGGAGACTGCCAAGAAATTTTCTTCCCCATTCCCTTCCTACCCATGCATATTGCCCTTGGCCATACCCTGAAGTTAGAATGGCCACTCCTAGGTACCACCCCATCCTTATAGCTGTAGGATCCCTTTCCTCCTCAGATGTCCTTACCCTACCCCACTTCCTTTGGCAGGAAGATTCTTCAAAAAGCTATCCAGATGTGTGCCAGGATCTCTGGCTACATGGTACCCCTGACTTGGCACCCAGCCCTTAAGACTGTGGCTGCTTTGGCAGGTTAAAGCAAAGATAAGAGATATTTCTGTCCTGTTCCTTCAGAGTGAGTGCCAGCATCACCACGGCCTCAAGAAACAGGGCTGATGGCAGCCCTGCTGGTGTTTTCCAAAGTTGTCTGGGTCTTTTGGATCCATTCCAGTCAGCAGTGATTTGGTTTCATATCCTGGGATGAGAACAGGCTTTGACCTCAAATTAGACAGCAAAACAGGAGAAACAATGGAAAGAAAAAAGAAACTCAGTATCTGAAAGAAGTGTGTCTGGTGGAAGTTGGGAAGTGGGGAGTCTAGGCTTGGCTTTGAATCTGGTTTCACCCCTTGCTTGCTGTGGGACCTTGGCCAAATTACGGAAACTCTCTGAGCCTGTTTACCCATCTTGCAGGGCTCTTTCATCTGAGTGAAATAACACATAAAGCCTGACACAAAGTAGGCTCTCAATAAATATGTCCTGTTTCTCTTTCGTTCCCCTTTCCAACATAGGTAGAGAACCCAGAAAAAGAGTGGCTCTTCTAAGCCCAGTGGGAAATTCTTCATATGAAAACAAGAACTCTGAAGATGGCAAGTCTCTCAGAATACAGCAAAGCATAGGCCTAACCCACCTGCTCCATATCTCTTAATGTCAGCCTCAGCCAGAGGGGACA